TAAACTTGCCCCAGAGAACCATGGCAAATCTGGCAACAAACACAAAAACAGAGTCCCGTGAATAAACTGCAAGTAGCTTTCACACTACAGCAATTGCACAAAAAAAGCGAATTCGTGAATGAAACAGAAATGAATTCACAATATTTTCCCGAAAATGCCTATTTGCTGGTTCATGTCACTTTCTTGTCAGATTCTGTGTGGCTTGTGCACAACGTCATGTGAAAACCATTCATGCATTTGTGCTTAATACATTGGATAATCACAGGTTCTTACCTATTTAAACTTCCATTTTTTCCCGTGTGATAAACTCATGTCATATTTGACTTATGGTGACCCTGAGGTAAACCTATGATGGAGCTTATTTGGCACGTTTCAGCAGAGGGGGTTTGCCATTGCCATCCTCTGAGGCTGAGAGAATGTGACTTGCCCAAGGTCACCCAGTGGGATTTTATGCTTGAGTAGGGATTTGAACCTTCAGAGTCATAGGAGTTTATCACATGGGGAGCCCCGTGCAAAATCACTCCTTAAAGAAGAAAAAAACCCAAAAAAGCAGAAGCTTTTAATGAACGGGATTTCTCCCGTTCTGCCCTGTGTGAAAAGTGAAAGCGCTGTTAAAAGGAGGTTAATCTGAACGGAAATTAGACAATCAGATCTTCCGAAAGTTAAAAGAAGCAGTTTTTGTCTAATTTCCATTCAGATTAACCTCCTTTTAATAGCAACGTCATCTGAAAGACACCTGCTTTTGTGGGTTTTGTTTAATTTAAAGCCCTGTTTCCACACGGGATTTCCCCCGTGTGATAAACTCCATAGTCCAATACTCAAACCACTACACCATACTGGCCCTCTCCAGAGAAAGGTGCTCACCCTAAAAGTCTACAGTTAGTTTTAATATTTTTTAAGATGATGCATATACTTCAAACATATTGTAAATGAATGAAGGTCATCATATTTCACTGCAAAGACATTTGGTATTCATTCCAGGCATACTACATAATATGGTACTTCAGTAGAACCAGAGGCAATTGCAGAAAGAGATCTTGTACATTTCAAACTGAGGTCAATAGGGACAGCTGCTTTCCACATCTCTTTCTGCCACAAAACAATCTGATGTCATGCTTTCCGATGAAAACAAAAGCACTTCCTCTCCAGAGTGCTGGAAAGTTGTAACACATGCTCTGACACATTTCCTGGACATTTCTTGAAGATATTTATCAGATATAATTTGTACCATTTTTCACTCTGGAGGATGTTGTACCATCTGCTGCCACCACAATTTCTACCCACAGGTATTTATGGAAAGACATCCCGAAGTTTCAGGAAACCCCCAGAAGAGGGGAGCTGTCCTTGGGTTGGCAGCTCGGATCAACACTCCTTGATCCTTCTGATCTAATGAAGCAACGTCTGCATTTTTTTACCACAATGTGGAAACCCTAGAAGACAATAAAAATATAAACCCATTAGGGTTATACACCTACTTAAAACTTGGTTTTCATATAAAAGGAGTTATTATTACTACAGCAGGTGGGAGCCAGTGTGGTGTAGTGATTTGAATTTTGGACTATGACTCTGGAGACCAGGATTCGAATCCTGGCTCAGCCATGGAAACCAACTGGGTGACCCTGGGCAAGTCACACTCTTTAAGCCTCAGAGGATGGTAATGGCAACCCCGCTCTGAGAAACCTTCCAAGAAAATCCCATAATAAAGTCACTTGAGGACTACCATAAGTTGGAAAGACTTGCACTCAAAAACAACAGCATGGGACTGTATCTGCCAGTCATTGGTTTGTGCCAACTCTGCAAAGTAGGCTAGTGCCTTACATCCATTTTGTGGTCCTAAGAGTATTATGTAACAACCCTATCATATAATGTTATTATTCATTTTCCTGGCGTATTGGCTGTTTCTGGGTAAACACATGGATGAAGCTATTATGTTTATTGTAGTGACAGAGCAATTTATTAAGGAAGAGCAAGCCATTACGTGGAGTGAAGGGAATCAGGGAAAGAACACAGCATATCAGCTGCAGATAGACACATTCTAGATAAAAGGTTTACTTGGCAGGAAACAATAGAGAAGTAAACCTAGTACAGTGGAACTTGGATAATTCGAACCCCAAGGGAACAGTAAAAAAATTCGAATTATCCAAAATTCGAATTATCCAAAAAACAGGATACTGTATTGCAAAATTTAAATACAGTACACATATGTTTTTGGGACTCCACCGCAGTCTCTCCGCCTCTCCTTCCTCCTCCTCCTGTCGCTGGGGGAGTTTCCTTGAGCTGCGATGGTTTGGGGTTGCCTTGGAAAAAACTTCGAATTATCCAATATATAATTCAAATTAACCATAATTTTTAACATTGTTTTAATACAAGATTCTAGGGACCAGGGAAAATATTCAAATTAAAGAAGATTTTGAATGATAGAAGTTCGAATTATCCATGTTCCACTGTATATATTTTTCAGCATGGCATAGTGGTTTAAGTGTTGGACTGCAACTGTGGAGCCCAGGGCTTAATTCCTGGCTCGGCCATGAAATCCACTAGGTGACCTTGGGCAAGTCACATTCTCTCAGCCTCATGGGAAAGCAATTGCAAATCCCCTCTGGACAAATCTTGCCACAAAACCCCCATGGTCACCATAAGTCACAAATTTATGGTCAAGTATAGCCATTTCTCTCCCTGGACCACAGCTAATCTGTTCTATGTTTCCAAAATAAAAGAAATTGATCTAGGTAATGAGGATCATTTTCCTGACAAATCCTGTGAAATTCTCAATGTTAAGGGTGCCGAAACCAGAACTGTGTTTTTCCCCCTTCTTGTTTTTATGCCCTTTCTTTCTTAATGACTTTCTCTCTACATAATTTTTGTTTATTATTTATTGGATTTATATCCCACCTTCCTCACAAAATGGGATTCAGGGTGGCTGTTTTTTGGAGTTCTTGATGACTCTAATATTCTGTATTATCGCTATTCAGTTCCAAATTCTAAGGACTTTTCTTCCAATGTTTGTAGGCTTCCAGACCTTATTGACTATGATCCAAAAGACATTGCAGAAATAATCCAGTTTGAGATCGCTTTAATTGCCCTGGCTCAGTGCCAGGAAATCCTAGGAATTGTAGTTTATTGTGGCACCAGAGCTCTCTGACAGAGAAGGCTAAATGTCTCACAAAACTACAGTTTCTAGAATTCTCTAGCATTGAGCCAGGGCAGTTAAAGCTGTCTTTAACTGAATTATTTCTGCAGTGTGTTTTGGACCTTTGATACTAAGGATCAAAGCATATGTGGACACACATATACATTGACATGTCACACCGGTACATGCTACATGTGCATATTACATTCATATATCATTGTGTGGCTTTGTTCGCTTGTGCACTTGGACAAAATCCTGCTGATGTCCTTGCCTTCTTTTGTGCTGCCTCCACTCAGGTTTCCCTAGGCGTGGGTGGAAGTCTAGGGTCCACACTATTGATCTAGGCATACAAACCCTAGTTCCCACTGCCATTACTACTGCCAATGGGAAGACAAAAAATATGAGTTTGAGGAAGAAACAGAAGCAGTCCAGAATTGATTAGCACAAAAATAATACAAAATTAAGCATGTGCTAGTCGAAGAGTGCCTTTTGAGAAAACAATTTGTTAAAGGTTTTTTTTCAGATAAGAGTAAGATTACTTTCTTTCTGCAGTGAAGAGTCACCTTTGAAAAGCTGTCAGAATGACTGTCCTGTGCAAGTCACAAACTACAAGGAGCCTGGAAAGTGTTCACCAACAGCAGCTGGATAGCAGACTGGATCTCAAATCCAATTGGTTAGTTCCAATTGGAGGAGGCCCACTGAAGATGCATCTACACTGTAGAAATAATGCAGTTTGATGCCACCTTAACTGCCATGGGATTTGTAGTTTTGTGAGGCATCCTCATGCTTTGGCAGAAAAGGCAAAAGACCTTGTAAAACTACAAATCCCAAGATTCCGTAGGATGGAGTTACAGCAATTAAAGTGGTGTCAAGCTGTATTATTTCTACAGTGTAGATCAGGGGTTGGAAACCTATGGCCCGTGGGCCGTGTCCGGCCCCCCCGAGGCCTTTGGACCAGCCCCTGCCACCACTGTGCCGCCACCGCGCCGCCACCATGTGTGCCAATTCTTTTTTGATGAGCAACTGTCCCCCAGCATCACCCTCTGGAATCTTCCTGAGATGAAGGAATGGAACCACTGAAGTACAGTGCTTCCGATCCCTAACTCTCCCAGGCATTCCAAGAGGATGCCGGGTCTATCCTATCAAAAGCCGCTGAGAGATCAAAACTGGGTCACACTTCCCCTGTCAATGTTTAGCAAAGGTCATCTACCAGAGCAACCATGGCAGTCTCCATCCAAAATACCAGTCTGAAGCCAGTTTGAAATGGATCTAGAAAATCAGTTTCATCCAAGATCACTTGGAGTTGAGAGGCAATGGCCCACTCGATCACCTTGCTCAAAAATGGAAGATGTGAGACAGGTCTTTTTCAAGTCCAGGGGATCCAAAGATGGCTCCTTCAGGAGCGGTCTCACAACTGCTTCCTTTAGGCAAGATGGAACAACTCCTTCCCTAAGGGATGCATTGATGGTCTCCTTAAGAAAGGCCATCAATGCATCATTCCCCTGGACTAACAGCCATGATGGACAAGGGTCAAGAGGGCACGTCATCTTCCTCACTTTTCCAAGGATCTTGTCCATGTCATCAGTACTCACCAACTCAAACTGATCCAGCATAATCTCAGAAATGGGTTTACTAGAGACCTCATCAGTTGACTCTGTCATAAGCCTGGCATCCAAGTTGACTCTCATCTGAGAGATTTTATCTGCAAAGTAGTTATTAAACACATCACAGCATGCTGTTGTAGGGTTAAGAAGAGGGTTCTGCACAGGTATAACCTGTGTCAGCTCCCTCACCACCCTAAATAGCTCTGCCAGACGAGACTCTGCAGCTGCAATATGTGCAGAAAAGAAAGGTTTCTTTGCTGCATGTGTTGCCTCTCGATAGGAACAAAGAAAGTTCCTATGATGAGTCATGTCAGATAAGAGTCAAGTTTTTTGCCAGGTGCACTTTAGTCATTGTCCAGCCTGCTTCATCTTCCTGAGTTCATCTTTGAACCATGGTTGTTTATTTGAAGCGGGTTGGAAAGGCTGCCTAGGAGTGATCGTGTTGATAGCCCTGGTAAGATTGGTGTTCCACATATCAACCAGGGCTTTGACAGAATCACCGGTATTACCAACCAAGGAACCCTCCAAGGCATTCTGAAGACCCATTGGCTTCATTAGCCTCTGAGGTCGGACCATTCTAATGAGTCCTCCATCCCCGGTGGAGCGGACATTGTCCCTAAGTCCAACCTTGACCAGGAAATGATCCATCCATGACAGTGTGGTGATACTCATTACCTCTGCCCATGGATATGCCTGCTCTGTATTAAAGACCGCATTGAGGGTATGACCCGCACAGTGCGTTGGCCCAAAAACCAGTTGGGATAGGCCCATGTCTGTCATGGAATCCATGAACTGCTGAGCCGCACCTGTTAAACTAGTCTTGAGTGAGATGTTGAACTCACCCTGCATTTCCTGATCAAGACTGAACTAAGAACCATGGTTCGCCCCTCTGGGGGGTGGTGGACCCATTAGAATGGTCCACCCTCGAAGGCTAATGGAGCCAACTGGATTCCAGAAAGCCCTAGAGGGCTTAATGGTTGCTAATGCCGGTGATTCTGTCGAAGCCTTGGTTAACACCTGTAACACCGATCTTACCAAAGCTATCGACATGATTGCTCCCAAGTGTCCTTTCCAGCCCGCTTCAAATAGGAAGCTATGGTATACAGCTGAGCTGAGGAAAATGAAGCGAGTTGGTCAATGACTAGAGTGCACATGGCGAAAAACTTGACTCTTATCTGACAAGACTCATCATAGGAATTTTCTTTGTATCGAGAGGCAATACGTGCAGCACGGTGATCCTTCTGTTCTGCACGTATTGTGTCTGTAGTGTCACGTCCAGCAGAGCTGTTTAGGGTGGTAAGGGAGCTGACGCAGATACCTCCTGTGCAGAACCCTCTACTTAACCCGACAATAGCCTGCTGTGATGTATTTAACAACTTCTTTGCAGATAAAATCTCTCAGATAAGAGCCGACTTAGATGCCAGTATTTCAACTGAAACAATAGACAAGGTGTCCAGCGACTCCATTGATGAGATTATTCTGGATCAGCTTCAATCTGTGAGTACCGATGACATGGACAAGCTCCTTGGTAGGGTGAGGAAAACAACCTGCCCTCTCGATCCTTGCCCATCATCAATGCATCCTTCAGAGAAGGATATATTCCACCTTGTCTGAAGGAAGCAGCTGTTAGGCCGCTCCTGAAAAAACCTTCTCTGGACCCCCTGGGTATGAACAACTATAGACCAGTCTCTTTATTACCATTCTTGAGCAAGATAATCGAGTGTTTGCTCTTCAACTCCAAGCTGTCATGGATGAAACTGATTATCTAGACCCATTTCAATCTGGCTTCAGGACAGGCTTTGGGGTTGAGACTGCCATGGTTGCCTTGACCGATGATCTGCATCTGAGTATAGATGGGTAGTGTG